TTTGTTAAAAAAAAAAAAAAAAAAGCCAGCAGATGAACCAGCTTAGCCAGCAAGTGTGATTCTTAATCTCCCGTGAGCATGAGAATCAGCTGGAGGACTCGTTAAATCCAGATTCCTCTGCCCTCCTCCCCAGAGTTTCTCCTTCCGAAGGCGTGGGGAGGGGCTTGAGAATCTGCCTGTCTAACAAGATCCAGGTGATGCTGATGCTGCCGGTGGGGATCCCACTTTGAGGACCACTGCCGAAGTCATTTACCCATGAGGCCCACCATCCCCGGCTGGCTGGGGTTACCTTGCTCCACGTGCTCGATGACCCTGAGGGCCTTCCTCGCTGCCCATCCTCCCATGGACACATGGTCCTCCGTGGCGGCGCTGGTGGAGAGGGAGTCCACGGACGACGGGTGGCACAGAGCCTTGCTCTCAGAAACTGCAAGAGGTGGGTGCGGGGTAAGGATATGCTCTAACAGGAAAAACTGCCCGACTGACACGTGTCTGCCCAAAGTGCTCCTTGAAAGCACACAGAACAACTTCAGTAGACAGCTTGGGAAGCTAAACATTCAAAGGGGACTTCCCAAAGTCCATAACATTCTCTAGAAATCAGTGACCTCTCCCCCCACCATTTTAATACGAGAACTTGCTGCCCTTTGAAGGGGTATTTTAACCTGGAGGTAAGTGAGCAAGTGGAAGATATCTGACAGAGATGAATTCAGATGAATTTGCTGGTTATTTGCATTGAGTTTTAGCGTGAGGCTTAGGTGAGTAAGGGATTGGGAGGAATAGTAACTATATTTATTGAGCACCAGGTATAGTTCTAAGGTTTTACCTGCATTAATTCATTTGGTCCTCAAAAACAGCCCCACTAGGTAAATTTATCATGTGCGTTTTACATAGGAGTAAATCGAGGCTCAGCAGGATTGAGACTTGTTCCATATCACACTGCAAATGGCAGAGCCAGGATTCGAACCCAGACTCCATGCTCTCCTGCCTCTCGGGTAGGTTTGCCAGATAAAAACACAGGATGTTCAGGTAAATTCAAATTTCAGATTTAAAAAAATAAGTTTTAGTACAAGTATGTCCCAAATAATTCAAATTTAACTGGATACACTGCATTTCTCTTTGTTAAATTTGGCAACCATGTTTTAGGATTAAGTACTGATTAAAATGAGGTCCTCATTAATTGAAATAAGAGCACAGATTTGGGAGCCAAAATGCCTGGGCTTGAATTCGCTGCTCGTTACTACCTGTGCAAGATCGGGGAAGACACTTAACTCCTCGGGTCTTTAGGTATTCATCTGTGAAATGGAAGTAATAATAGTACCTGCCTCTTGATATTGTTGTGATGATTAAGTGAGCGAAAATAAGTGAAGCCCTTAGCACTTCGTTTGTGCCAGGCCCACTCTGGTGAGTTACTGATCTGTCCCCTTACAGTGTTGAATCGGGAATGAGCTCTGTGAAGCTCAGTGTCCATAGAGGGCCTTCTGCTTCTGATAAGCACTGTTGCATGTTGTAATCACATTGTTAGTGGTTGGTGTATCTAATGCAATGGATCCAAAGTTTAATTATTCAGATCGGTTCAAGTTTCACCATTAACTATAAACATCTGGGTCCTTTTCTTTCTGATCATCTTCAAATTGACTTCGGGGAACAGCTACAAAGATAAAGTTCATATGTGATGTCAAATTGTGTCCTACAGAGAGGTTGTGGAAACCTCATTGTTTACGATCTCGCTTGTGTGTTACTGTGTCTCAGTACAATATTGTTTATGTTTTGTTCTATAATTTCTCTAAAAAATATTAAAGAGACAACCTGCTGCATTGGTATGAAGGGAGGCAGGATGCAAAGGGAGGTGCTGAAAAAGTTAGATCGCATTCAAAGACAAAATTTGATATTTTCAGGTAAAATGGAGAGGCCCTTCAATGGACAGGCTTGCTATCTGGGAAGAGGGCAGTGTCCTTACCCAGGGCGGCGGCCGTGCAGTGGGCTATCATGAATCCAGAGTTCAGGCCACCTTCGGCCACCAGGAAGGCAGGCAGCTCGCTGAGGGAGGGGTTACAGAGCCTTTCGATCCTTCTTTCGCTAATCGCAGCAAGTTCGTGGACACCGATGGCCAAATAGTCCAGGGCCTGAAAGAGTATCTCGGTTCAGCTGGCCGGCATTTGGAATATGCTCTCAGGGGCAGCAGCAATTCTAAAAAACTTACTTTCGCTGGGTATTCACCATGGAAATTTCCTCCAGAAATAGTCTCTCCCCGGTTGGCAAAGACCATCTTTCAAAATAGGTTAAGGCTTGAACACATTTCCTGATTACTTCAAATAAAACACCTTCCCCAGTCTGCCTGTTTCTAACATTGAGGCAGCAGCCCTTGTAAAATCTGGGGTGGAGAGAGGGAAAGTCCACAAGCAGTTGTTGACATACACGGACAAACACACAAACAAACAATCTTAAGAATTGTGTATACCCAATTAGGGCCAAAGAAACACAAGGCATGAAACACTGTTTCCCTTGAGATTAGAGACTCTCAAGCATCATAACTGTGCTAATCTGGTGGTTAGTATTTGCTCTTAAAAAGTTTATAGCCTGAAACTAAGAGCAGAGACCAGGATGACAGTTTCAAAGCAATTNTTTGCTCTTAAAAAGTTTATAGCCTGAAACTAAGAGCAGAGACCAGGATGCCAGTTTCAAAGCAATTTCNAGCATCATAACTGTGCTAATCTGGTGGTTAGTATTTGCTCTTAAAAAGTTTATAGCCTGAAACTAAGAGCAGAGACCAGGATGACAGTTTCAAAGCAATTTCTCTCTTCAATGGGCACTGTGAGCTTGTGCTCCGTAGAAGAACCTGCCGAATGGAAGGCTTTGCTGATGACCAACCACCAAATTGTCTGGAATAATCAATTCTGGGAAAACTTCCAAACAAACTTTCTACTCAGTGACCTGTGCAGGCGTTCACAGCAAATGGTGGCTGATAGGTCATCGTAAACCCATTTAGGTCACAGGCAACTTTGGACTCACTGAATATTTGTCTTCTCAGGGATCATTTCATCCCTTTAGGCCCTTCACCTAAACCAACAGAAAAAGACCGTAACAGGCCCTTCTTCCACATTCCAAAGAGCTCATTTTTACCTACTGCACTAAAGAATATTCACTACCTATCATATCAACTAGGAACTCACTCTGTGTGAGAGAGGTTTTGACTTCCAAAGAGCTGGAGGTGCACGTGTTGCACAATCTTTGTCAAGTCTAGAGTTGCCCTTTGAGCATCTCAGGTTTCACTCTTCTTTTCCACGAACCCACCCCAACCATAGGCCTTGGTCTTCTCTCCATTCTCTGTGTCCTTACAGCAAGCGACCTCTTCACCATTATAATTTATGCATGTTTTGTTGTTCTCCAGCTCCAAGTAGGTTGGTTGGCTATTAGATTATAGCAATTAGAGGTTAACTCCCATCATATCCAGCAACTAGGTCATAGGTGCTCTTTATCTGCTATAGAAAACCTGGAAAACTATCCTTTCAGGTAACACCAGTATTACAGGAGAACTCCCAAAGATTAGGCTATTGGAAATTCTTCAGCAATTAAAAATATTCAGTTGAGGAAGTAAAGGATTTTTGGCTGAAATTTTTGCCAAGGCAAGGGGTGGGGGGAGACTTTATAGGGAATTATTTCCTCCCCCATTTCCAATAACTTATTGTTTTTTTAAAGCTCTCTAAGACACCCTTTCAAGCTTAAATTATGTAAGTGTCGATTGATACTCCTGCTCTACAGGACAGATAGATGAGATAAGACTACATGGAGTTTAGGAAAACTGCTACATTTGGGGGGTGGGATGGTGTAGAGGGTGGTTAGTGAGTTGAGGATTATTTAGTGTGGATTTGACTTAACCATGAAACAATCCGAGAGGACATAAAACACACATCCTAAAGTACGCTCATTGGAGAAACCTCACCCAGCTGCTATGGGCCCATCTGCTAGCCCAGGCTGTGAGCTGCTTTCTGGGATGCTAACTCAGCACTTTCTCCAGGGGTAAGAACCGAGTCAGCCCTGATCGGTTTGGCTCAGTGGTTAGAGCGCCAGCCCATGGACTGAAGGGTCTGAGGTTTGATTCCAGGTCAAGGGCACATACCTTGGTTGCAGGCTCGATCCCTGGCCCCGATTGGGGCGTGTGCAGGAGGCAACCAATCAATGTGTCTTTCCCACATTGATGTTTCTCTCTCTCTCTCTCTCTCTCCCTCCCTCTCCCTCTCTCTCCCTCTCTCCCTCTCTCCCCCTCTCCCCCTCCCTTCCTGTCTCTGAAATCAATGAAAATATATTTAAAAGTTTTAAAAGAAGGGTTACCAACATTCACATCATGGAGGTGCTGGAAGGAGAAGAGAGACAGCAAGAAATTGAAAACCTATTTGAAGAATTAATGACAGAAAACTTCTCTTACCTGGTGAAGGAAATAGACACACAAGTCCAGGAAGTGCAGAGCCCCAAACCAGGAGAACCCAAACAGGCCCCCACCAAGACACATCATAATTACAATGCTAAAGGTTAAAGACACAGAATCTTAGAGGCAGCAAGAGAAGAGCAGGTAGTTACCTGCAGTGGAGCTCTTCTAAGACTATCAGCTTCTTTCTCAACAGAAACTCTGCTGGCCAGAAGGGAGTGGCAAGAAATATTCAAAGTGATGAAGAGCAAGGACCTACAAGCAAGATTACCCAGCAAAGCCATCATTTAAAATTGAAGGACAGCCCGGCCGGCATGGCTCAGCAGTTGAGCNTCCCACTCTCTCTCTCTCTCTGAAAAAAAACACACACACAAAACGGAGACAGACAGGCAGTATGGTCTCTGTGAAGACTTAGCCAATGTGACCCCTGACTGATCACATGAGCGTCTAGAGGAACAAAGCCATCCCAGAGCATTCCATAGCAAAAATACTGAGATACCCACACCAGGAAAGAAAGCCAAGCCCCGTCCCTGAGAAATGGAAGTGTTCTACCCTTCTTTGTACAAACACAGAGAAACACTGATTTGAGTAAAGTCCATGTCAGAAATGAAAACTTGGGATGTGGAAAGTCATAGCTCTCTGAACCAGAGGTACTCATTTTATGAAATGGAGGGACAGGGCAGAGATGCTACACCATGATCACTTCAGATCTTAGAATTACCAGCTGAAATTCTATAATTATGGTTTAGGAAACAGTCAAAAGATACAGGATTATCTGTTGCACTGTTCAGTTCTGTGGTAATCAATTTCTTCACAAACGCTATGGTGTCATTCACCACACCGTGGACCTAAAATGTAAGAGTAAATGAGTTACTACATGGAGGACGCTGACAATGGTGCCTGCCCTGCGGAGTCTGATATTCTTATTAGAATAGCAAGGATGTTCGAAAGTGGGATTTATTCCTATAGCAGAGCTCGTTTGGCCATTCTTCCTCATAGACGTTTTTGATGTAGCGAGAATAGAGCTGGCTGAGTACAAGGACGGAGGGCCTTCACTCTGGACGGGAGGCTCTTTATTGCCCTGTAGACAGGAATTTGGCACAAACTGAAATACAGGGTGGGGCAAAAGCAGGTTTACAATTGTGAGAACTCAAAACACATAGTTTCTTCTTGTATTATTATTTATTAATATTTTCCATAGGAACAACCATAACCCTACCTTTGCCCCCCACCCCGTACTGTTTCATTCTTGAGAAGCATGTTAATCTCTCATTCTACTAATTGCCATATGCAAATGTGTTGTAACATCTGCAGTACAGGATGCCTCATGCTAACCCAATCACCTGCACTTTTTATTTGAAGTTAAGCCTCACAGGTTCATTTGTGATGATTTATGTCTGCCTATGGAGTGCAGGTGAGCAGGCGCTCTTGTGAACACCCGTGGCTGGCTGGTTCTAGTTCTGTCTAGCAGGGAGAGCAACTGAAACTCCCCTAACTGGTTAGGATGATGTTATTTCTAAGAATTTTCAAGAGTGAGGACACTAAGCCAACACAGCAAGTTGCCTGTGGGACGTCTCTTCAAGGTTGAGCGAAGTAATTTAAAAGGAAACAACCAGCTTATCACATAGAAATGACAATAATAGGACAAATGGAAGCATGATCTACATCATTTTTAATAGAGGCTGTAAAGAAGCTTGGATCCTAATAGACCATTGCATGATTTTCTAACACCTTCCTCTTTTTCTACCCGC